CTTTTCCTGCCAGAACAGGAACAAAGTTCCCAGGCCTCGAGCTACATCAGGAATGTCTGGAATCAAGACGTGCTCTGCTCTCTGCCAGTCCATGAATCAGTTACGAGGCAGCTGTTCCAGTAACTTGGCTAATTAAATTAGAGTCCACTGAACGCTCTATTGACCTGAAGCTCACTCCAGTGAGCAGGCCCACTTTGAAGGTGACTATATTCACAGCTGTTTGTTAACAGATTAAATAAAATGGACAGACAAATAAGGTGCTATAGGAAAATGTCTGTAGATGTAAACAAGGTGTCTAAAGCACAGCTGTTAGAGTGACTTGTAGGAGACTTTTGTTTGGTGTCTGGAGTTGAGTTGTACCACCTACCCTGTCAATTCATAAGTTAAAGTCCTAACTCCAATACCTCAAATTCAACCTTTTTTGGAGATAGGATCTTTACAGAAGTGATCAAGTTTAAAAAGATCATTTTGATGGGCCCTAATCCAATGTTATTTATAAAAAGGAGAAATTTAGACACAGATACACACAAAGGGAAGACCATGTGGAAAGAGAGAGGGAGATCATTCATAAGCCAAGAAGCAGCATCTGAACACATCCTTCCCTCAGAGCCTCCAGAAGGAATCAAACTTGCAGACCTTGATTTTGACCTTGTAGCCTCCAGAACTATGAAACAATACTTTGTTTTTAAGCCACATGACCTGTAATATTTTGTTATAGCAGCCTAAATATTTAGAGACATGAAAGGCAGAAAGGCATGAGGAGAACTTTTCATAAGAACACCAAAAAGAGCATCAGTTCTGAAGCAAACAAACCTGAGTTAGGACCCTGACTTTGCCATTACCTGTAATTTGTCTTCAATCAAGACACTTAACCTCTCTGTACCTTGATTGCTCATCTATGAAACATGAACAATGATATCACCTCACAGGGGTGTTGTTAGGATTAAGTAAGAAAACATAGTCTTTGGCTTATACAGGCCCAGGTCCCCCACAGTCTATCAGCAAGCAGTCACCAATGTAAATTCTAACTACCTATCAAATACCACTGATAAGAAGTATAAGCACTGTAACCTGATATTGTAACACCCTCTATGCTTCCATTCAGCTCTTTCTGCTCCACTTAGTTCATCACATATTTGATCTTTTCCTCTATCTCTGACTACAGACCTCAGCTTTATGCTCAGAAATCCCTCTCCTTCATTTCCCCTGCTGGACTTGGGCCAGAAGGGAGCTCTTTTAGCAGGCCCTAGGCCTGCCTCACACCACCTCACTCTCATGCTCACTCCTCTGGACAACCTAATACCATCTTCAAGGAAAAAAAAAAAAATTTACTTGCCTGGTTTAAAAAGTAAATGTTAGTTAAACCCTCCCAAATCTACTAAAGAAAATAATCACGATCATAATAAAACCAAATAGAACCCCCCTCCACTAAAAGTAATAATAGTAATCATTTAATAGAGCCCCATTGGTCCAAAAATGTTGATAAATTGCCTGTTCTAATTAACTGCCCATTCCATTTTACAAGTTACCCTATCAAAACTGAACAGAAACTTTCAAAGAATTAGAATCTAAACCAAACATATCAAACACCAAATGCATTGGTGGTTACTGGTTCAAAAGTTTTGCAGATTTGGCAGTGTTTCAGAGACACTGTCAGAGTCTCGATTACTGATGAAGGATTCTAAAAACAAGAAGTGGAGGCAATTTTTGCCACCAAGTGGCATGAATTTAAAACAAGTTTTATATGTGCATAAAAACACAAATATCCATATAGCCAAGAAAAGTTCTTCTGGGACCCTAAATCAAATGCTTCTTATGGTAGAGGAGTCACTGGTTACTTAGGAGGAGGCTATTCCAGTTCATACTGCAAAGGGACCACCTCCCTTCTTCTCCTTTGGGCTGCATCACTCATACATTCTGTGGAGTTGACCTGACATCACTTCTAAGTGTTAAGCTTTTCCACTCAGCTCTAAGAACACAAGAAGCATTAAACACTATTCCTGCCTTCAAAGGAGGCAATTTAGTTGGAAAACTGTCTAATGTTATAGAATTCTAAATTATGTACATTGATTTTGAAGTGCTTAACACTAAAAATAGATGTTCTATGATCATTAACCTTGCTGCATGTTGTACACAGATTACCAAATTTACTCTTCTCATATATTGGGTCATGGTATTATCCCCATTTTATAAATGAGAATTTTGAGTGTTAAGAGAGAAGTTTAACTATCCCAGGACCATAAAACTAAGTAAACATAGACTTGGGCATGAAACCCACAGCCCACACAGACAGTACTGCTCCAATACTACCTTTTCTACCCTTCTTACCTAAGTCCCTGTTGACTAACAGGCCACAGCTGAAGTCCTGCAAAGGATCAAACATACTCCCTTCTATCCTATTTTCTCCTTCTCTTTTTATCCCCATGTACTCTATCCATCGTTCCTACCCATCTCTCCTGAGACACAAAGAGATTTTAAAAAAGGAATAAAGGCTTCTCTGGTGCCCTTTTCTTCTATTTTGAAGCTAACTTCAGGGAAAAGCAAAAAAGGTGGCGCTTGCTTTTGTAGGTTCATTGGAAGAATACTATTACTCTCAATGAGAGTGTGCTGCCTTTAGATCTGTTTCTCTTCTAACTAACCTACTCTTCGCTTTTGCTGCTTTGCTGATAGAAAATAGTAAGAAGACAAACAGAACCCAGAAAGTTAATATTCTGTTGAATTCTCAAAAATCCCCAGTTAAATTCTCATAGTTGTTGATAAAGTGAAACAACAGGCACTTGGGGTAAAGAGAAATAGAGAAAAAAATCAGAAGTACAACTGCCACATGTATATACCACAGTACTATCCAGGCAAATGAAAGAGATGGCTGATATTTTTCTAACATGAACAATAAGTTGACACAAGAATGTAGGGAATCAGGTCTCCATAAGTCTGCTGAATATCAGAATTTCCTATATTTTTTCTAATTGCCTTACACTTAAAAATCTAGTTGCCTTTAATTTTCATAAAGTTAAATATTCAAAGAAAAGAACTTTTGAACTGGGGTTGTGGCTCAGAGGTAGAGCACTCACCTAGCATGCATGAGGCACTGGGTTTAATCCTCAGCACCACATAAAAATAAAATAAAGATATTGTGTCCACCTATAACTAAAAAATAAATATTAAAAAAAGAAAGGATCTTTTTATCCAAAACATCAGCTAGAAAGAATAATTGGTAATTTCACAATAGAATAAAAAAGAAATGGTATAGTCTAGGCACAGGCCCTGGTTTTAGGAAAAGTGTATTTCAAAGTGCACAGAAAAATACCAGAAATTATCTCATGGCTGTACCCTTTAAAGACATTATACTACTGTGGATAAAAAGGAATGTGGGGAGAGGGGCTTTCAAGATGAAAAACTTAACTTTATAATAAAATGATGACATAGTTTTTTTAAAAGTACAATTGTACAGCTGCAGATGGAAACCAGCAATAAATTCTATAACAAAAATCAAACCCACCAATCTCAAAAAAAAAAAAAATCTTAACAGGCCATTCATAAGCAAAACTGTAAAAATAGTTTCAATATGGAAAAAATAATATCAGGGAGGTCAAAGCCTAGAATGTGCTGATATTTATAAAAACATTATTTCAAGAAACTTTATGAGGGGAAGGGATTTGATCAGTGAGGGGAAAAAAGGGGAAAGAAAAGGGTTAACTGAAGCAAATAATTGGGGAAGAGGTCAGTTGTTTTTAAGGTATATAATACTTAATACTCAATATTCAGGGAATGGGAATGGAATTGACATAGGGTAAGCCTGAAGGGAGAATGGGAAAGAAAGGGATACAGGAAGCTCCTGGAGTGAGGAGAAACACCAGAGATAATAATAAACAAAGTTCACAGACTACAGAATGAGCTCAAGTCTGAAATACACTATATGGCACTTGCTTCCATGATCTAATGTGTTTACTTCTCTCCCCTTTTACCTCCTACTCACTCCCTTACTCTCCACTATTCTGAGCTCACAAGTATACCACCCATCTTAAAGCCTTTGCAAGGCAGGCTTAATTGTCTCCAATATCCACATGGCTAGCTAACCTTCTCAAGATGGTACACTGACTCATCATACTATTTAGAATTGCCACTTGCTCCTGCTCCTTCTCAGAGCTCCTAATCCTCAATCACCCCTACAGGTGCTTTTTCCCCCCTAGCACTCAGTACCTTTATTTTTTTTTTAAAAGAGAGAGAGAGAGAGAAAATTTTTAATATTTATTTTTCAGTTCTCGGCGGACACAACATCTTTGTTGGTATGTGGTGCTGAGGATGGAACCCGGGCCACACGCATGCCAGGCGAGCACGCTACCGCTTGAGCCACATCCCCAGCCCCACACTTAGTACCTTTAAACATAGTATTTAATTTAAATTTTGTGTTTATAATTTGTCTTTCACTAGAATTTAAACTATAACAGGGGAAGGAAATTTCTGTTTCGGGCTTGTTATTGTCATCCAGTTCTTAGAACAGTGCCTGCCACCCAATAAATATTAAGTGAAATGAATATACAAAGTCTTAAGCCTGTGGCACAGGAGGACATTGGTATTTCTGGCCTTGGTACTACTCTCTTCAATAGCTAAGACCCATTTACTCCTTCCCTACTCTCTGCGCTAAACAAAAAAACTAGGACACCTGATTTATGAAGAGGAGTGAAGAACTTAAACATAGCTCATCAGAATTATTGCCCTCCTCCCCAACCTCTAGGCAGAGATTTCATAACTTGATTTGGAGACATCTAATGCTATTTCTAGTCATAGCTTGTGATATCACAAAATTCTTAACCAAACTTCTCCCAACAAAGTGAAGGATTTATCTAAATCATATAATAATTGAAATTCTCAAGCTGGGGCTTTGCAATTTTTAGGAATTTTTAGGCTTTGGCAAAATGCATATTTTTAGGAGACAATTATTACCATACAAAGGTTCAGAATCTGTATTAGGAAGAATATAGGCATCAAAACAACACACAATTAAGAAAGATCATTTTATTTCAAGACCTTCTGCACAAGAAGTAATGACCAACAAGCTTACGTTCCTGCATTTCTGGCTATCTCCTACAACTAAGAAGTCACTACTATACACATCATCATTTATCCCTAGCGCGCGCACACACACACACACACAAAAAAGGCATGGAGTTTGGACAAAATACTTCTTTGGGCCAGATTTTTATGATCACAAAAATACTCTAAGGTGTGTGTCTATATATATGTGTGCCACTTAGTACTTTCAGAAGATAAAATCTTAGGAAATCAGATGATAGAATGAAATGCCACAAAAAAGCTAAGAATCACCTCTTTAAGTGATAATTATTAGCAAGCATGGCAAAGGAATAGTCCATCTCCCCTTAAATGTTAATCAAAGAAAACAGTTTGAGCTGTCCCAAATGATTGTTCAGCAACATACTGAAGCTTACAGTATAAATGCTGCTCAGAGTCAAATGACATTTCAAAAGCTGACCAAGACCAAAATATAAACTGAGGGTAAAATGGACAGGTTCTCTAGCTTCTGTTTCCACAGGCCAGGCCTACATGCCTTGTGATACTTCCAGGCCTGAGGAAAGAGTGCCATCTGCAGGATCTCTGTTTCAAAAATTACTGGTCAGGTGACCAATTCAGCATTCAGAGAGAAACAAGAAGCACTATCAAATCCCCTCATGGATTTGGTTGTTTGCAGACTTGCCTTTTCAACAATTCTTTTTATTGCAATCTTGAGATACCTTTTTATGAATTTCATTTCTTAGTCACTTGTACAATCCTGACTGCTCTTAAAAAGAGGTTTCTTCTACTTGCCCCATAGATCCACTAAGTAAATTAAGACTCTTACAATTCCCTAACTCCCATAATCGACATACTTTTTCTAAAAGGTTCTCTCCCATTCCAACTCAGGTTTCCAATCAGAACAAGTACCCTCAAGGACTCTGTAAGAGCTACCAAACCCAGCTCCCATATGTTCAATCAGATAATCTGTCCCTAATCAGAATGAACATCATCTTAATCATCAGCTATTAGCTGTTTCAGCCAGAAAACAGATGAAGTCTACCTGCTCTGCTCACAGACTATTCATCAGAGGAAACAGTTCCAAGATTGAGCCTACGTGGCCCAAGAACTTTAGTAATGCAGTTTTCCATGTTGCTGGGAGGAGGAAAGGAGAATAGCATATAAGAGATCCCACCCCCAAATTGTTGTACCTGTCAAACAATAGGAATAGCATCTATGAACAAAAGAAATCTGTTGTTTTGTGTAACATCTTTGTGATACATTTCAGTTCTGCCCTTAGTTCACCACTCCCAAAAATGTGAAGAGAATGCTACCTGAAATTGTGTGAATTTTCAAAAACAGACATTTTCGTTTAAAATAGCCCCTTCCTCCTCTCTTAAGAAAGCCCACTTTTTTGTTCTCAAAAAACTGAAGCTGGTTCAGACCATTTTTTGTCTGTGAGTGCTCAGAGTAGGACCTGCAGAGTATAGACAAATAGCTTGTTGTTAACCCAGCTGAGTTCTATCATAAGATATCTAGACTTCTTTGTTTAGTTCTTCTATGATCCTTAAATGGGAAAAGAAAGACCAAGCAACCAGAATGACTTGATTAAAGATCTTGGCTGAATCAGAACTAAGTACAAGAAGGAGAAGGCAAAAGGAAAAACAATGTATGTTTTTGGGCAAGGAGATTAGAAGACTGAGGACAAAGAAATCAGGTCAATTATATTGGGAATATCCTTCAGACAGAAGCTGCCTCAAAAACATGTAAAGATCACACCCCTATTTCAGGAGGGGAAACTATTATTTAGTACCAAGAGATATAATCCAGTGTCCTAGAGAGATCCAGGATAACACCTTAAACATAATACTTACTGACAGTGGAAACAAAGACTTAAAACAAAAATTGAGCTGACAAATCAGCTATGTCCACCAAATAAAGGATTAGGCTATAAAGCCCAGCATGGGCATCTCACAGCATGTACATTCCAAAGGAACATGGGCAATGTAAAACCCTTGACATTTGCTAAGGTACAGAAATACTAGAGTGTCAGAATGAGGCTGATGGAGGACCTAATAAGAAAATAAAAGTCAGTTGAAACAGCAAAACTTTCCAAAACTTAAAGTCCTAAGGGACTTAGGAATTCTGAAAAAGTGTCAGATAGTATTACAAAGAAAGGAGATGACAAGTCAGTACATCTGTGAGGGTCAAATATGTCAATTTTTTAAAAGTACAGAAGAAAACTTTGTCTCTTGTCAAAGCCCCCTTGTTATCAAAGACACTCACCCTTTAACTCTGAAAGATATTATTTACTAGAAAGAAATATTATACGAGGTCTCCCAATTCCTGCAAAACCAAATATGGTATCCCTATCCACCCCCCCCCAACAAAAATCTCTCATAAATTCTTCATTCTACGTCTTGGATTCTCTTGTATTCCTTTTTACAAAATCAGGGCCTAAAATTACAATGTATACAGTTCCCAGAGAGTCCTGGAATCAGCATAAATACTGCCCCACTGTTTCTTATATACCAAAGGAGAATGCCTAGAAAATCAATGAATTGAGGTGCTTCACTTGACATCTTAATATCCAGTTTTTCAACAAAGTCTCATACAGGCCAGGAGGTAAGACATCCTTATATAAAGACAAGCTTCCATGAAATTCTGGTTCACCAAAACCAAAGGGTGATCCCAAGAAGTCTTGTGGAGTAACTACACCAAAGAAGGATCCACATAGTCAAGTTATGGCTTTCTCAGGAAGATCGAGCTACTTAATCTTAGCAAGGGCAGCGGCTCTTCTTTCTGTGTTCTGGAACAAGGCACGAATTAAAGCTTTTACTTCACTGGAAGAGAATGCAGTTGCCAGCGGCCCTTTTCCATCTGCCCACCTGCAAAAAAGAAAGAATTTTGTCTTTGAAGTGTAATGATTTTAAATTTTATTTCATCCAAATGTTTTGTTTTACATGGAAATAAAATAAATTCTAGGTATCCTTTCTCTTCTTTACAGATTTACCCTTCAATACCTTAGATGTTCTACTCATTGGCTACATCTGTTATCAGTACAGCTGGATAAAGAAACCAAGAGATAAAGACATGGCTATTAGCTCTTTTACTCACCAAGCCTCCTCTGAACTTGATAATTATAACCATATTCTCTCAAGCCTTGGACTCTAACTACTTAAAGTGAACAAGAGAGAAAACCTTTCAAATAAAAAGATATTGGTATTAAAAATATAAAAAGAATTCCCATAAATCAATAATGAAAAAACAACATAATAGAATAAAGGACAAAAAATATGAAGAGGCATTTTACAATACAAGAGATATAAATTACCAAGAAAAAGATGCTTAATCTCATTAGTATTTAGAAGAATTAAAATGACAATGAGCTATTATTCTACACTTGATTATCAAATCTGCTAATTCCAAACACTGGGGAAATATGAAGAAACAGGATATATAACTATAAAATATGTGTACCACAGGATATATGGTGCAGCAATAAAAATAAAGTGTAGCTATATATGCCATTATGAATATATTTCAAAGATATGATATTGAACAAAAGGAGTAAGTTAAAAAGGATTCCACTTATATAAAGTTCAAAAGCTGACAAGTCTAATCTTTTTTATTGTTAAGACTATGTGTAAATGTAAAACTATAAAGAAAGGCAAGGGAATTATATAAAATTTAAGTGAGCAGTTACCTCTTAATGAAAAGCATTTGGAGAAGGACATATAAGGGTTTTCAAAGATATCATTTATATTTTTCTTTAGTTATGTAATAAACATATTAATATTTATTCTTTTTATTTAAACTGTGAAAATAATTATCCATGCTATATTACTTCATATGTATATTTTACAATTAAAATGTTTAAATTATACATGAACTAAAGGTGGGTTTTGTGTGTGTGTGTGTGTGTGTGTGTGTGTGTGTGTGTGTGTGTGTGTGTTTGTAAAAAAAGATCCAATTAGTTACTAGTCTTACATTTACTGAACTCTCTAGGAAGGAAAAAAAAAAATCTTCCTAAACAGAAAAAAGAAGTTGAGATGTACCAGTACTATAGTTTTTCGCATTAACAAGGAACTAATGATTATTCTCGGGCTGCAAGAAAGCCATTTAAAAGCAGCAAAAAGAAAAATTCCACTGCTCTCTGGAGCATATTGTCTAAAGACATTTTTCTTACCCATTAAGGGTTTATAAATAAATAAATTAAAACTTTGTAATAAATGTAATTAAAAGTATCCTGATGTGATTTTTTTTTCCTAGTAGAAATCTCATTTATATTATTTTAGAATGGACAATATGTGCTGCAAACTACTCAGACTCATCTAGGATAACTGGTCTACTATATCTGGATATCTGCAGTAAATCAAGCTGAAGTTGACAGACAAGTGACTACAGAGTTGGAGATGGATAACCTTATGTCCTCTAAGGGAATTCTTTATGCAAGGTATACTTATTCATGAATCACTACCATCAACACAAAACCATTAATGCATATATAACTAAGTCACCAAGTACAAATACTTGGGGTCCTTCATCTATCACTATTTTGCATAAGAAATACAGTTTATCACCATTTTAAGTAGAGATGTCCTAGTTCTGCACAAAGAAAACAACATATTCTGTAAGTATCATGCCCTCTGTATATTATGATATGATGTAACAAACATTTATGGGGCATAGCCACATTAATCCATAGTGTTGGACAAAAACATCATTCACTATATTTAAGAAAAGAATCCATTCCAGCATATAGCACTTAACCTCTAAAACTATTTATCCCCTGCAGAAAAACAACTGGTGAATCAAAAAGTGGTTTGATGCTGCATATTTCTTTAGTTATACAGACACAATATTCTTTATTTTGTTTATTTATTTTTATGTAGTGCTGAGGATCAAACCCAGTGCCTCACATGTGCGAGGCAAGCGCTCTGCCACTGAGCCACAACTCCAGCCCTGATGCTGAATATATTAAAGACATAAAAGTAATTTCTCTATTCATATACCAAAATCATTATATCCACTGTTGATCAAAGTGAATGAAAATTTCCGTTCAGGAGCCCAACGGAGTAGCACATGCCTATAATCCCAGAAGCTCAGGAGGCTGAGGCAGAAGAATCCCAAATTCAAAGCCAGCTTCAGCAACTTGGTGAAGCCTTAAGCAACTCAGCAAGACTCTGTCTCTAATTAAAATATTAAAAAGAGCTAAGAATGTGGCCCAGTGGTTAAGTACCCTGGGTTCAATTCCCAGTACCCCCCCCAAAAAAATTCCATTCAGGTATAAAAAAGTTGTACTTATTATAAATACCAGATCATTTGTATTGTATGCCAAAACCACGCTCATGATCCAAATAATATAAATGAGAAGTGTTTATATTTTATCAAATATGAGAAAGTAGTAATGAGATCTACATGATGATAGCCCATAAAAAGGCCTCAACTACTGAAACTTTTTCCTGAATAATAATAAGATACAAAGAAAAGCACTGCTATCACTGGTGGCACTATTATTCTTTTATGGCTGTGAAGATATACACGCCTCTATAGAAGGGTTACACGCACCGATCTCCAATTTCTTGCAAGCTAGCTTGTAGCATCATCATCAGTTCTTTGAAAGGCATCCATTTTGACACATAGATGGGAACCTCTTCTTGATATTTCTTGTTCTTGCTTTCTTCAGATAGAGGTGCAAATACTTGGGGTCCTTCATCTATCACTGTTTTGCATAAGGAATACAATCTATCACCATCTTCAGTAGAGATGTCCTAGTTTTGCACAAAGGGAACATAACAGAATTTGAACAATTCAGTAGTAGGGAAAGGGCAGAGCCATCTTCATTACAGGCTGTTCAGGTGGGTCACCTATAGCAATGTGCTTTCTACCCCATTTAATACACCTTACTAGATACTAGATTCCTTCAACTCTCTGAAAATATTCATGTAACTAGAATGACACAAAACACGTTTCAACAGATTGTCAGTAATTTAGTTTGCCTACATGAAAGAGTTCATTTCTGTAGGAAAAAGTGGTATAGCAACTTGCAAAGCAGGGGATTTATTACAAATGAGGATTTTGTGAGTCTATGCTTTAGAGGCTTCAGCTGGCCAAGACCAGGCAATTTTCCTTGTAGGATCATACATAAAATCCCAACTGCAACATTTTCCAAAAAAAGTGCTATCTGCATAAGACTTTATTCACTTTACTAAATGAAGGTATTAACTTGCAAATGCCATACAATACATCTTGGGACTACTGCCCAGTTTCTTATTTCCTCACTCATAATTTGCAGATGCTAGACTTGAGAAGCAGTACAATCTTAGTTTCTTGTCTAGGTATAAAAGAGATTACCAAGTCTCCAGCAAAACATAATTAAGACAAAACTGAAAAAAAATAACAGCATGAGTCACATATGAAACACGAACAATTTTTTTCCACCATAAGTGTTGATTAAAAATAAGATTTCAACATCACTTTTTTAATAGTCACAATAGCATTGCATCTCAATTTATATCTGGGGAGGCATATAATGGCCCTTACCTCAAGGGCAGTGATTCTGCTAATGATCTCAGAAATTGCTGTATTTAGTAAAGTCCCCATAGCCTTGCAATATATATTCACTGGCAGGATATCTTGCCACACAGTTCCAAGTCTCTTTAGTTGGTGCAGTACCTGTCAGAAGAATAGAGCTATTTACATAGGAGAGAGATAGTTGCAACTCACATTTTCCAGATTTACATTTATAATATGTGTTTCTGGGGAAAGAGGTATATGCAAAGGTGAGGTAATAATATCTGCTCTTGAATATTTAACCTTAATAATAAACCTGGTAGCTAAAACGTACCAGGATAGGAAAACTGCAGTAAAAAGATAAAGCACTTAAGAGATGAGCATGGATAAAAGCCTATATTTCAAACTTCTCCAATACAAGTTCATGAGTCAACTACAGACTTACTTAATTGTCAACTTAGTGTGTCAATGGAGAGATTAGCTTCCTGTTGTCTCAGTAAGGCAAAAGAATATTTTTAAACATAACTGTGAAAGGTATCTAGATTATCCAGTGGAGATTATAGGAAATCAAGAAAGCTACTTGTTAGGTATTCTTATGCTTAAAAAGGTATCTAAGGGTAGAGTACAAATTTCACCGCTAGCAAGAGCCTCCCACCTGCCGGATTGCTTTACTTGCTGCAGAATAATTCTCTTCATCGTCCATATTTGAAAAGTTCCTAGCACTTGACAATCTTTCCAGAAGTTCACCTTTCTGTGCCCGCATTTGGGCCAAAAAGCACTCTGTTCCTATGATAGGAAACCAAAACACAAAATTCTAAAAGATATATATTTACACACTGCAGAAAACCAGTAGAAAAGGAGAGACAAGCATAAACATATATATATATATATCCACATGAAAACAATTGCTAGGTAACATCACAAAACTGTCCTAATAATATAGAAAAAAAATCACTAACACAGTTAGCCAAACACTCTCTTAGAAGAATAGAGAAATCCTTCTCAATAGTTTGCCTAGAGTCTGAGTCAGCTAAAAAATATTACTTACATAGAAAAAGCTACTTATTATTGTGATATATCTATACCAGAGAAGGAAAAAGTCAAGAAGTGAAAAGCTAAGTGAATCATATAGATTCTCTGCTTTTCTCGGCCTAACATTATAGAAAACATATCAATTTAACCCACATTTCATTTCTTTTGACAATCGCAAGTAAAACTAAGGAAGATGTAAGGGGAGGGAGGCAAGGGAGAGCTGTCTTTGGTTTTGCAAAAAAATAAGCACTGGCATTAGTGAGCTATTACCAACAACTGTCATAGTATAAATCTTATTGTGTCATTTCAACATAAATGATTTGGTGAATTCAATGCATATCAGCAATGAAGTCTGGAACGCTAATGTACCAGAAAATAATAAATCATGTCTTAAAAAAATAATGCTTCTAGAAAATCAAAAGGAAATCAGTAGAGGAAAGGGCCTAAGGGGAGGAAGGAGGGGAGAGAGGAGGGAAGAGAGGAGAAGAGGGAAGACAGGAGAAGAGGGAAAAGAGGAAGGGAGGGAGGAGAGGAGGGAGGAAGTCCTGAGGAGTACTGGCCAAATTACATTGTGTATTGTGTGCATGTACGAATAAGTAACAACAAATCTCATCCATATGTACAACTATGATACCCAAATTTTTAAAAAAGTAATGCTTCCACAAAGACTGCATTCATTTATAAAATTAAATAACCAGAAACATATACAAATTAAATGCCCTTCCGCTTTCAAAAACAGTGCAGGAACACCACCTAATTTCTAACCCCCTCATTTATAAATTACAAAGGTACTAGGCTGAGAAGCTGCATAATCCAAATTTAAGGTATCAATTACCAAGTCTTCTGAAGCCAGGTACAAGATCCACAAAAGTAGTAGTGCCATCACAAAGAATGGAGGCAAGGCGTAATCTGAACTGATGCCCCAGGGTCAGCAAGTGGTGAGCAATATACATACAGTTATTATGGTGAATAGCAGCCAACTGGGGAAGTTTTTGAAGGTTCTCCCTAGGCAATGAGGAAGGGTAGAAAACAAACCATCTATTATTAAAGTCAAGGTTGATGACAAGTCACTACTCCTCTAAAGCTGTCATGTCTCTATGCTTTAATAATTGTCTATTTTGTAGATGTTGAACATAACAAGATACAATCTCATCATTCCCACTCACATTCAGAATTAGGTTGTTCTGCCTGTGTGACCTTATCCTATAAAACTATCCCAGTGATTAACAAACAAGAAAAATCGAGGGGATCAAAAGTTTACCTGAGTCAACTCTTTGTACTGGAAACCTAGCAAAGGTATGCATACTGCTCTTAAAATTTAATTCTGGTAAATGTCTGTAACTACAGGTTTACTCTCCTTTCTCCAAATTTCTATTTCATTCGTGTAATGAAGCATTTAATATTTTCTAATTCACAAGCTAGAGATTAGGGTCACATGGGAAATAAAGTTAAGCCAGGCGCTGTAGCACAGACCTGCAATCCCAGAGCTTGGGAGGCTGAGGCAGGAAGATCATGAGTTCACAGCCAACCTGAGCAGCGGTGAAGTGCTAAGCAACTCAGTGAGACCCTGTCTCTAAATAAAATACAAAATAGGGCTGGGTATATTTAAAAAGCTCAGTGGTGGAGTGACCCAGAGTTCATTCTTTAAAAAAAAAGAATGCTTTAAAAAATTTTTTCAAATAATAAAGGGAGGGAGGCGAAAGCAGAGTCCTTGGCTATGAAATAGCTTTCTTGACATTATTAAAAACATTTATAAAAAACATTCAAATTATTTCATTTAAATAACAGAACTTCTGAAGGCTTACAGTTGAGTAATCTTTCAGAACATAAAAGAAACCGTTAAAGCCCAAGACATTAAGTGAATAAATACAGATGCTACTACAAAGAGTGGCTAATCATACTTCACAATTAAAAAGCATTCCCTTGGGGCTGGATTGTGGCTCGGTGGTAGAGCGCTCACCTAGCATGACGAGGCCTTGTGTGTGATCCTCAGCACCATATAAAAATAAGTAAATTAAATAAAGGTATTGTATCCAACTACATCTAAAAAATAAATGTTGAAAACAAAATTCTCTTGTATCTTATGTCTGCAAAACTATGAATGCCAAGGGAAAATGTAGTATGTTTACTGGATAGCACTGTGAAATATTGACCTTTCTGGGTTTTTCTGGCACTGAGAATTGAACCCATCCTGAGCCACATCCCCAGCCCTTTCTATTTTTTATTCTGAGACAAGATCTCACTAAGTTGCTTAGGGGTCTTGCTAAGCTGCTGAGGTTGGCCTCAAATTTGTGAACCTCTTGCCTCCTCCTCCCAAGTGAGAGTACAGGCATGTGCTACCACATCCAGTATCTTTCTGTTTTTCAACCAAGATAAGTAAGGCAATTCTTAAAATGTGTAGGCATTAAAACAGGCAAGGCTCTTTTGAGTTTTTAAATTTGCATTATTTACTGTAAGATTCTGTACCTTTATTAATAGTAAATATCTAAGTCCTTTAAAATGGTTCACTGCATTTTATTGTGAATTTCAGTAACCAAAATATCTTTGGTGAAAATATTAAAATAGTAGTTTTAAATAAATAAATATTTTAGACATACAACTATTATACAGAACTGAGATAAAGTAGTACTTACTTATGATATGTTGGTACAACATCATGGAACAAATGAAAGATATTCCTCACTGAGTAGAAAAGTTGGACAGCACTAAAAGGAAAATTAAAATTTAAGAGATATACAAAAGGATATACTATAAATGAGAAAAACTTTCAAACTAAGTACACTTCTAGTGAAGGTCATCAATTAAAAGTACAGTTTCAGGGAAAATCAGCCTTGATCATTGCTGGAAAACACCACTCATCTAGATGGAAATATATTCTCAACCAGTATTTACTAACTAAATTGGAATTCTAAAAACTTGGATATATTAATAGTCTTTAGAACAGTAGCATTCAACCCAAAGCCTCTTTTCCATTTATCATTTTGTGTTCTGCAAGTACCCAGAGTATCCTTTTAGTTACAAATGGAGCTAAGCCTCAGGCAAATGTCACCTACTCACTGATACACACTGCAAAGGGCAAGGTATCAATAAAGGCACTCACTTGGTTCTTTTAGAATAAGCCTGACTTTCAGCTTTCACTTTTTTCTCCTTCATTCCCAATGCAGAGAGATAAATCAACATTTTCTAGGGATAGAATCTAGCCCTCAAGACTTTTTGCCCTTTAAAACACCTCAAAATATTAAAATGCATTTTAAAAGAGCAAATATAAAACTTGTAACACTTCTCTCTACACAAGAGTGTTTTAACCTATATACCTTGAATAACACAAAGGAATTCCACAAATATTTAGGAAAACAAGTCGTGGTTGCTATACTCCAAAACACCTTCACTACCAATTATCATGATAACTGACTAAATTCATTCATTTTTGCTATATATATATATCATCTGAGGTTTGACAATGTAGAAAGAAAGGTATTGTACAGTAGGTGGTTTTGTTTTATTGGCACAACTATACATAGTAGTGAAATTCATTATACCACATTCCTATATGCATAATTTATATCAATAATAGATAATTCAATCAATAAATAAGAGACAATTTACTCAATCTCATTCCCCAGTACCTTCCCTTTCTCTCCATTCTTTTCTCCCCATCTGCTTGCTCTACTGATGTCCCTTCTATTACTGTTATTTTAATTAGTGCATAATAATTACATATATAAATATAAATGGGATTCACTGTGGTATATTCGTACATGAACATAGCATAATATGATAAATTTCCTTTCCCAGTTACTTCCCCGTGTCCTCCCTTTCTTACTCCCTCTCCACTCCCTTCTACTACTCTGTTCAGTGGTTTCCCTTTTGTTTTGATAAGACCTCTTTTTTATTCCTTTTCTCTAGCTTCCACTTTTGAGAAAAAATATTGACCCTTGACTTTCCAAGTCTGGCTTATTTCACTTAGCATGATATTTTCCACTTCCATCCATTTATCAGCAAATGACACGATTTCACTCTTCTTTATGGCTGGATACAATTCCACTGTGTATATAAACCATATATATATAAGAATATATATATCCTTATCCATTCATCTACTGATGGACACATAGGCTGGTTCCATAACTCAAGTATTATAAACACTGGTATGAATGTATCATTGTTTAGGATAAATACTAAGGAAGGCGTGGGATAGCTGGGTCATATGGTAGTTTCATTCCTAGTTTTTTTTGAATTTTTTAATATTTATTTTTTAGTTTTCGCTGGACACAACATTTTTATTTTTATGTGGTGCTGAGGATCGAACCCAGCACCCCGCGCGTGCCAGGCAAGCGCGCTACCGCTTGAGCCACATCCCCAGGCCTCATTCCTAGTTTCTAAAGGAATCTCCATACTGATTTCCAAAATAGTCAGACTAATTTGCAGTCCCTGTGGTTTTTTGTTTGTCCTATTTTAAAAAACATTTATTTTAGTGGAATGAATGTCTATAAACATTCAGAATACAAAAATAGTGTTTTCTATCTGCTTTCTCAAAATTTTTTAAAAATATTGCCCTGTATCTCTACTTTCTGGCCTGATATATTTCAGGAGAAAGTCATGAAGAAATACTTACTCCTGAACTTATTTATTTATTTTTTAAATATTTTATTTTTAGTTGTAGTTGGACACAATACCTTTATTTTATTTCTACGTGGTGCTGAGGATAGAATCCAGGGCCTCACACATTTTAGACAAGCACTCTACCACTAAGCCACAACCCCTGCACTCTCCTGTGTTTATTTTGCCAAAAGAGTATATACTTCCTTTATAAGCAAGCATGAATTTTTACTTCCTACATGTAATTAAAACTAAAAGGACTCATGAGTAGGATTCATTAAAGCCATGGAAGTACCTTGGTAAACATGTTTTTTCTAGAGCAAAATAAAATAAAGGGGTATGTTTTCATACAGAGATTATAAACTACAGATCAGAAAATATGATAGGATTTTATTAGTGTTTTTTACTATGAGGACAAAAATTCAAAAAAAAAATGCTAAGTACAGATTCAAACTAAACAGGCTTTAGCCTTTTGTAAACCTGCTCTACAATCCATTTTGCCTATTCCCTATTTTTGTCTCAGTGGATTCTAGAAGAAAGAGCTTATTAAATAAAAAGATTCAGTATGAAGTGTAGAGTCGAGTCTAAGGTACCTTCAATACAATGTACATTAGAGGTTACCTTGGAAGGTGAAGCCAGATTTGAGGTGTGTACATTCTTTTTCTTTTACTTTGATCAACTAAAGAATTATTAGTGCTTTAAAAATAAACATTTTAAATGTAAATTTAATTAGGACCTAAATTTCAAAAGGTAAAAAACTAAAGAAAGAAAGCTGGAACATATGGTACAACTATTACTATTACCTCCACCACCTGTAATATTCAACATTTGAGTACTAATCATTTCTAGGTAATATTCTAGGTTCTTCACATGTACTTTCTAATGTAAAATTATTTCATTTTCACCATAAAAAGTAAAAATTAAATATTATAGTGTTTTTACTAAGTGATTAACAATTTTCAGTGTGAGATAAACTTACATGTCCATCTATATACACGCATCTATTTTTATACCTTGTTCTAACATCTATATTACTATAAATAAAAGTTAGAGGGTAATATATATCTATGTGCTACACTGCGTCTTTTTAGAAAAAAATAAATAATTTTAAAACCCCAAAGAATTTCAGCTAATATTCTTAATAAATGTCTATTCAGATAAGCATTAACCAAAGCAATGCTATTTTCAGACAACTTGGAATTCATACCATTGGTCACTACTGGTTGTTGCCTCTAATAAAGTCTGATAAGCAAGTTCCATTAACTTCTTCACAGATTCACTGATGCGACATGTAGGCAAAGAAAAGGAATGTTGATCCAATGTATTTTCAGGTTCTAAATTCACTGCTTCATTGTACTCAGTTTTGGATACTTTTTGTACTAAAAGCTTGTTATCCTCATCAGGACTTGGTAAGTCTGGCACACTTATCTTAGAATCAGGAGTAATCTAAGATTAAAACAGAAATATAAAAAATGTATGTTTTCAGAATAATTCAAATGCAAGCACAAAGCAAAGAATAAGACAATGGTGACTTCCATGAAGATAAAGCTGTGATTCTAAGGAATAATTAAAACATATCAGTAGATAAGGCATTATTTTAACAACTGCTTAATCTTGAGTGACAGCATGTGGTAAGAAATAAGCAATCCCTCTAACTACAAAATTCTTTATGGAAAAGTAAAACTGTGCAACTGGCCCAAGACTTCATGTCTACAGGTCTACAAAGTTGAGTACAGTGGCATGGACCTATAGTCCCAACTACTCAGAAGGCTGAGGCAGAAGGATCACTTAAACCCAGAAGTTCAAGATCAGCCTGGGCAACATAGATTCTGTCTCAAAAGGACAAAATTTTTTAATTAATTAATTAAAACAAAAATAAAACTAGATGCAGTCATGCATGGTATAATCCCAGTGACTCAGGAGGCTGAGGCAAGAAGATGACAAGACTGAGGACAGCACTGGCAACTTAGTGAGATTTTTGTCTCAAAAAATTTCAAAAGAGGCTAGGGATGTAGCTTGGTGGCAGAGTATACCAGGGTTCAATCCCCAGAGCAAGAAGAAAGAAAGAAGGGGAAAGGAAGAGAAGAAAAAAAAAAACCTTCAAAAATCATCTTTCAAGCTGGGGATATAGCTCAGTTGGTAGAGTGCTTGCCTTGCATGCACAAGGCCCTGGGGTTCATTCCCCAGCACCATTAAAAAAAAAAAAAATCATCTTTCTCAGACTAGACTATTGATTATTAAGACCAGTATAATTCTGTGTTCCATTAACTACATTATGAGCACATATGTTAATTTAAGGAAAAACTAATTCAGATTACTGTATTCTACCCCTAAAAAACAAAACTCAAAATCAAAACTGAAGAAGCCTCCTTAACATTTACATGGAATGAGGATTACTAGACTTGGTTGGGACTAAACTGATGAAAGAAACTGAGGTTGAGAGTCTGGAGACAGTGATATCTTGTTCTTGTTTTGGTACTGGGATTGAATACAGGGGTGCTTTACCAGTTGAGCTACATGCCAACCCTTTTTATTTTTTGTTTTGAAGCAGGGTCTCATTAAGATGATTAAGGCCTTGAAAAGTTGCTGATGTTGGCCTCAAATTTACAATCCTCCTGCCTCAGCCTTCTGAGTCACTGGGATTACAGGTATTCACCACTGTGCCTAGTTTGAGATGGTGACAGTTTTTAATCTAACTTTCTGCAAAGTCATTTAATGTTTTTTTTCAATTTTCTCACAAAATATACTAATAATGGCTTTCAAACCTTGCTTCTCAAAGATGCCTCAGGAACCAAAAAAAAAAAAAAAAGAGGTAGAGAGAAAGAAAGATATTATGCAGGTAGAGGCAGGAAGTTTCCCAGTTCCACTGTAGGAATAGCAAGCAGCTCTGCTCTGCACATACTGGACCTGTTGGGAAATTTTCTTTTTTCTTCTTTTTTTTTAAGTTATAGATGGACACAATACCTTTATTCAATTTATTTATTTTGAGTGTGGTGCTGAGGATCAAACCCAGTGCCTCATACCTGCAAGGCAAGGGCTCTGCCACAGAGCCACAATCCCAGCCTGGGAAATTTTCTGTTAGAAAACAATACAAGTTTAATAAAAATATTTAAGTCAGCAAACCTGACTTCTAAATCCATAAAATGATATAATAATTTCTACTTCTGAGGCTATTATCAAGCTTAAATGAGAATACACTGGGTGTGGTGAAGGAGGATCACAATTTCAAAGCCAAACTCAGTAATTTAGCGAGGCCCTAAGCAACTTAGGGAGACCCTGTCTCTAAATAAGATACAAAAAAAAAAGGCTGGGGATGTGGCTCAGTGGTTAACCGCTCAGAGACCCAATTCACAATGCAAAAACTTCACAAAAAGGACAAAGGACTCAAAGATGGAATAATGTAAAAGCTAATACGGTTCTCTCAGGTCAAAATATAAAAACATCTTCAAAAATGAATTGTACTGGGCCAGGCGTGGTGGTGCATGGCCATAATCCTAGCAGCTCGGGAGGCTGAAACAGGAGGATCATGAGTTCAAAGCTAGCCTCAGCAAAAGCGAGGTGCTAATAAGCAACTCAGTAAGACCCTGTCTCTAAATAAAATACAAAACATAGGGCTAGGGATGTGGATCAGTGGTGGAGTGTCCCTGAGTTAGATCCCCAGTACCACCGCTGCCTAAAAAAAACCAAATATACTGTTTTATGAATATTGTGCTTTTCATGACAGGCCAAAATTAGTCCTTGTCTTTCGTATTTTCCCTAAGGTTGTAAAGATGTACTAATTGATACATGAACTAATAGGAACACTGTGCCAATTTTGTAAAAATCTCAATGTTTGAATCATTTATTGAGTGATAGTATTTATCAAAAAGTATATCCAGCTTATTCAAAAAACCAAAGAGTATAAAGCCACAAAAGCAAAGAAAAGTAGTAAAATTTTCTGTTTGCATCTTCTGGTTAGAAAGGCCAAACTGAAATTATTGAGCTTCTTCATTAGACAGCCAAATGCAATACTACTCTGCCCCTTACTGATTTAGACTCAACAGCGGTACTTAATACCCTTCTTATAGCAACAAAGTGTATTAAGTTGAATGTTAGGATAATAATATTTACATATGTGAACTGGGTCCTAATACTGATTCTTTAACTTCCTGAATTATTGTATGCAAATGATTCACTGGGAATATTCCCATATAATTTCAAAGTTATTACATACCAAGGCAAAGCCTTAATTTGTACAGGCTTTAGCAAAGTGAGGTTTCATTGCTTCTTGGATGATATTTAGTTTATATTTCGTTTAATATTATTTTCATAGGGCGCAAAATCTATGACTTACAAACCTAAATCATTTTTACATCAAAAAGCTACTCTGTCAGCATTAGAGTTATAAATAAATATTATCTTTTGGGGAAAACAATCTAGTATTTAGCCATATGAGCTATGTTTATTATGAAGTTAATGTTCAACAGTTACTTTTGAATAATTTCTTCATCTTCTGTAACGCTATCCTAATGGCAGAGCTCATTAATTCATATATGCCTGGATATCTTATAGGATTTGTGGCTTCCAGCTAGTTAGTTCTTTGGGATTTTAAGTCTTTTGGGAGTGGGGGGTACAAGGGATTGATCTCAGAGGCATTCAACCACTGAATCATATCCCCAGCACCTTTCTTTCTTTTGGTATTTTATTTAGAGACAGAGGCTTATTGAGTTGCTTAGTGTCTCGCTTTTACTGAGGCTGGCTTTGAACTCAAGATCCTCCTGATTCAGACTCCCAAATCACTGGGATTATAGGTGTACACCACCACACCTGGCAAGATACTGATTTCTTTATTTCTTTTTTTTTAATTTATTAATTTATTTATTTATTTTAGTTTTTCAGTGGACACAACATCTTTCTTTGTATGTGGTGCTGAGGATCGAACCCCGGCCGCACGCATCCCAGGGGAGCGCGCTACCGCTTGAGCCACATCCCCAACCAAGATACTGATTTCTTAACCTAGGAATTCAAACACTGATCCTTTTGAGTGAAGAATTTGAAGTTTTTTTAAGACCTCTTTAGAAGCAGTCATCGCAAACTAATTATGAACTCCAAGCTCCCTTCCCAGGTAACTGTTGAAAGCAATGGCATCATAATACTCCCCTGGAATGGCTAGAAGTGATTATGATATTTTGATTAGGAAAGCTGTCACTTAATAAAAAATTATACTGTTTGCCTGCTAGTCATGCATATCTTGAAATCATTTTGCTATGTTTATAATGAAGAATCTTCTTGGTAACAAATTATTAATTTTTTGAATATTACTAATTATCACTGCCACCTATTTCCTAAGCCCTTTTCTTGCTTTGTTTTTCTTCATGTTATATAACAACCAGCATTTTGTATATTTACTATTTGTCCCTTTCTAAGAAGTATGTTTCATTAAAGACTATTTTTTTTTTCTTTTGGGAAAATGAGAATATTTAGGGGACTGTTTAGAACTTATATATAAGACTATGAAAAGTAAACTGAAATTATTTTAGAAAAGCCAAAAAGAGCTTTTCAAAGTTGGAAAATTTAGGGCTGGGGATATAGCTCAGTTGGTAGAAAGCTTGCCTTGCATGCACAAGGCCCTAAGTTCAATCCCCAGCATCACCAAAAAAAAAAAAAAATTCAAAGTTGGAAAATTTAGATTTCATTCCAGGGTTTAAATGCCAAGAGCAAGAACCAGGACAGAATTCTGGAGCAGTAGTTGTTAACCAGGGAGAATTTTGGCAACATCTTGAGATACCAGCATCCAATTAATTGAAGACATAATTCAGGGATGCTGCTAAACATCTCACTAGACAGCCCTGGCCTAAAGGAAGCTACATATTAGTACATAGGTACAAAGGGAAAATGTAATTTCCTAGAATGGCAGAAAAAACTGAATAGGAGGCTCAGAGATTATCTAGTTCAATTATATTACATTACACAAGAGGAAAAAGAAGTTCAAAAGGATTAAAAGATCAAGCCCAGGACAGGCATGGTGAGGTACACCTACAATCCAGGTTATTCGTAGGCTGAGGCAGGAGAATCACAAGATTGAGGTCAGCCTGGGCAACCGAGTTAATACCGTTTTTCAAATTTTTAAAAATAAATAAATAAAAAGAGTTGGGATGCAGCTCAGTAGTAGAGTACCCCTGGGTTTAATCTCTAGTATCTCAAAAAACAAAGATCATCAAAACGAGAGTCACAAAGTAATGAGCAATTCATTAATAATACTGCTTACATCAAGAAGCTGTATAGAGTTTACTGAGATATACTAATTCACTTAACAAATATTGAGTGAATAGATTAGCAGTTAGTACACAGAGGTATGTGCCAGGAACTTTCACTGGAGATAATGGCAGTAAACAAACAAACAAAAAAAAGAAAGTCTCTCATGAAACATACTTCTTAAAAAGGGACAAATAATAAATATACAAAATTCTGGCTGTTATGTAACATGAAGAAAAACAAAGCAAGAAAAGGGCTTAGGAAATAGGTGGCAGTGATAATTATTAAAAAACAAGTTAGAGCTGGGTGTGCTAATGCATGTCCATGTCTACAATCCCAACTACTCAGGATTAGGTAGGAAGATCACAACTTCAAGAATCTCTGGGCAACTTAGTGAGACTCTTTCTCAAAAAGGGCTGGGAATAAAGCTCAGTGGAACAGCGCTTGTCTATTATACACAAGGCCCTGGGGTTTAATACTCAGTAGCTCCCCCTCAAAAAAAATAGTGGGGGGCTGGGGATGTGGCTCAAGCGGTAGCACACTCGCCTGGCATGCGTGCGGTCCGGGTTCGATCCTCAGCACCACATACAAACAAAGATGTTGTGTCCGCCGAGAACTAAAAAATAAATATTAAAAAATTCTCTCTCTCTCTCTCCTCTCTCTCTCTCTCTTAAAAAAAAAAAATAGTGGGGTCAGGAAGGACTTTAATGGAAAAGTCATGACAGAAACGATGGTATACTCCTATAATCCCAGCAGCTCAGGAGGCTGAAGCAGGAGGATCAAGAGTCAAAGCCAGCCTCTGCAACAGTAGGCGCTATGCCAGGCCATGAGACCCTGTCTCTAAATAAAATACAAAATAGAGCTGGGGATGTGGTTCAGAGGTTGAGTGCCCCTGAGTTCAATCTCTGGTACCCCCGCTATCCCCCCCAAAAAATAGAAAAGTCATGTGGGTATCTCCAGTAAAAATGTTACAAGCAGAGGGAACAGGAAATTCAAAAATTCTGCCACCAAGTAGAGACCTGGCACATTCAAGCATCCCTATGAATCCAAGTGCCTGGAACAGTGAAAGAAAAATGCATAACAGATGGAGTTAACCAGGTGTGGTGGCACACACCTGCAATCCTTGGGAGGCTAAGGCAGGAGGATAGCAAGTTCAAAGACAGCTTCAGCAAAAGCACAGTGCTAAGCAACTCCGTGAGAATCTGTCTCTAAATAAAATGGAAAAAAGGGCTGGGGATGTGGCTCAGTGTGGAGTGCCCCTGAGTTCAATACCCCATACCAAAAAAAAAAAAAAAAAAGAGAGAGATGGAGTCAGAGAAGACATGGATCACATAAGGCCTTGTAGGCCACTGGAAAGTAAGTGGGTCTTTTTCTAAATTAGATGGGAAGCCGCTGAATTTTGGTAAGAATGACATAATTAGATACTATTTATTTTAAAAGAAACCCACAGCACAGTTACTAGCACTGAATAGTTTTCAGCTCTCATAACAAATGTGTTAACATCTGTGGACTTCATATGGCCAATTAAATAGTTCATTGAAACAAACATGAGAACAGGGTACCAGAAAATGAAGCATGGCAAAGAAGGAATTAATAACAAACCCAGTCCCCTTCAGCAGAAAAATGGCCGAGAATCTTTTATTAAGGAATTGCCTCAATCTGTCTTAAATCAAGTAATAACTTGCATTTAACAAATAATATTTTATATAAAAACAAACAAAAAATGCATAGAAGTATCTAAGGCCAAAGGAATAAATTACTCTTAATGTAAATAAATTAGTCCACTCCCCTTGCAATTAATTACTTAAACCCTAATGTTTTATATTTATATAAAAAATATAAATTTTTAATTTTTATATATATACGGGTTTTTTTAAGTTGTTAATGGGCCTTTATTTTATTTATTTACTTATTTATATGTGGTGCTGAGAATTGAACGCAGTACCTCACACATACCAGGCTTATTCTAATGTTTTAACTGTTTTACTTCTTATCTTCAAAACTAGTCCCCCTCTATTAGTTTAAGAGATAAAATCATCATTTTCACAATAGGATACAACCTCTGAACATAATAAAGTCTAAGTATATATGTCACAAAGCTGTGAACTTAACCCTGAAATAATAATCTACTAATTTCAACAAAACTAATCCATTACATTTATGTAGGCTTTTTCGGTTTATACAACACTTTCAAATGCATTATCTTTCTAGACCTCACAATTCCTGATGAAGAAGTAGATATCAGGACTACTTTAAAGAGAATAAAACTCACACTCAAAAGATTAATAATTTGCCTCCATAAGCCCAGCAACTATCATACTTACTCTCTTCCACATTACCATACATGTCTCAAAAATGAGCTGATTCCTAAATAGTACAACCCTGGTACCTTCACAGTGTTGTGGATTTCAGATGTCATTAGGTTTCTAGCTGCCACAATCACATCCTGGCACTTTTTGTTAGCAAAATGAGAATTGATATTACGAGCATATTTCAGCAAATCAGTAGTATCTCCTTTTAAAAATCTCATCTCCTTTAGGGCATTTTCAAATTCTTCAGTGGATTGTATGATCTGGAAGAAGAAAGCATAAGAAAAAGAAAAGAATTATATGTAGTCATTCCTCAGTATGTGTGAGAGATTGGTTCCAGGACCCTTATCAGATAGATACTAAATTCTATTGACATTAAAGTCCCATATATAAAAAGGGAACAGTATTTGCATATAACCCACACACATCCTCCTGTATACTTTAAGTCATCTCTAGATTACTTACAACAATACAATACAAATGCTATGTAAATAACTGCTATACTGTATTTAGGGAATAATAACAAGAAGAAAAGTTTGTACATATTCAGTAGCAATCAAAATTTTTTCCAAACATTTTCGATCTGTAGTTGGTTGAATCCATGAATGCAGAAACCACAGACACAAAGAGTCAACTGTACAAATATTCCATTTCAATGTTAAAATTTCAAACCCAACACACAGAAAAAGTAAGAACCAAATGGTCATTTAGGTCTTAAAGCAAACCATCAGTCACCACGTTTAAAAATATATAGTTTTCCAGTCTTAAATCTTTTAGAAAGAATATCTTCAACAGAAATTTGACTCTGGTAAAGGTGCAAAAATCTTTAAAATAAATATACCTTTTCTAATTCAGGGAAACACTAAAAACAAGCCAACAAGTGTCACACAAAACCTACTATAATTGATACAAGTATTTAAAAAAACTTTAAAAATACATTTAAATAAGAAAACATACTTCCTCAAAGAGGCAAGAAATCAGAAAAGAAATGGAGTTATAAAAAATTTGTTTCTACTCTGTATTTATAATTTTTTTCAAGATATAACCAAAGAACAAAAGATCTGAAAATAAAAACAAAGCCAACAGCAATCAATAGTGTCCCAAAACCTTCTATAATATCTCTGCTCTTTACCTCTTCATATTGCTGTAGCTTGCTGCTATTTGTTGGAATAGAATAAACCAAGCAGTTTTTGATGAGACACTCAGACAAATCCTCCCAGATTACATCACCAAGCATCTCAGCCAATATGATCGTAGATGGTTTTTCAATTTCTAAGTCAGTGTCAAGAGGCAAATCTAAATTCAAAAAACAAAAGTTTTAAATGAGAAACCATTTACAATCCTCAGATATTCTTAAGCTGCCTAGTTTTCCAGAAATCTTTCATTTTAAGATGATGGGAAAGAAAACAGTCCAGATAACTCTATGCCATCTCAACTATGTTGTACAATACATGACATACAATTATGATTTTTATTTTCACTGCTCAACTGAATTTTGTGTACTAAGTCACTGCTTATACTCTTTAAAAAGGTACAAGCCATCTACATTGTAATCACCTACTTTTAAGCTACTGATCTGATTATATGACAAACAGAAGAGCTGCACTCAAAAATTAAAACTAGAGTAAAATCCCACTGTACTAATGAATAAACATACTTTTTCATCTCTGCATAGGATCTGTTTATCTTAAATAAATTATCAACAAATACTTTAAAGTTACATCTAGTCTACTAAACATATTTCAACGCCTCCTCTATAATTATCTCATGGTAGTGCTATCCAACACATTTTGAAAATGTTATATTTAAAATATCCTATTAATTGCCAGGTGTGGTGGTGCACATCTACAATCCTAGCAACTCAAGAGGCTGAGGCAGGAAGATTGCAAGTTTGAGACCAGCCTCAGCAACTTAGTGAGGCCCTAAGCAACTTAGCAAGACCCTGTCTCAAAATAAAAATAAAAAGGACTGGGGATATGGCTCAGTGGTTAAGTACCCCTGAATCCAATCCCCAGAACCGAAAAATAATAAATAATACTTAAGAATATTGGCTGTTGAGCCAGTACAAAAGGCAGAGGAACAATAAATGGGACCAGGTATTTTGGATCTAGTTCTGACTTGTCAAGAAAGACCTTAAGAAATAAAAATCTTAGAAGATGACCATATTACCTTTAATACTTTGTTATATCTAAAATTTAGGCCTATACTGTCCAATACACTAATAACCAGTCACAATTTGCTACTGAGCACTTGAAATATGGCTAAAATTACTGAGGAACTAATTTTTTTAAAAACTTTAATTAATTTAAATTCAAGTTTTCAAAAGGAACAGGGAGCCTTGTAGTAATGGAATAGTCTGTAACCTTTTTTTTTTTTTTACTACTGGGGCTTGAACCTGGGAGCACTTTACCACTAAGCTACATCCCCAGCCC